TAAATACACTCTCTAATTAAGAGCATTGAACCAATCACATAATTGAAAAGAAATCTTAAATTTTCTTTTTAACCAATAAAATGATCTTACCTAAGCAGACTTAAGTAATTTTTTATCACTTATTAATTTAATATGGCATCAAATAAACTTAAAAATTACCTCATTTTTACCAAGTTGTATTAATTATGTGGTGAATAATTAAGTTGTGCTCCCTATTTTTTTATATATTATATGTTTTTATTGTAGAGTGATGAATGTATAATTAGAAGCTTCTTTTACTCTACTTTTATTTTCATTATTTTACTTCTCCACCACAATGCAAATGGGGACACTTCTGCTATGAATTTCAGAGGGTAACAAATTCTAAATGCATGATTTGACACTTGCAAAGGTAGTGTCAACATACAACCTATGTCAAGTTTTTTATTCCTTTCGCAATTTTGATAATGATAAATAGTAGATCAAGTGCTTAATCTTTTCCTTTATGAACACTTCTTAAAGTTTTAAACTTATTCTTTTATAGCATTGGATTATAGCTTTATTATTGTCATATAGTCCTTAAACTTTTAAATATTTTAATTTAAGTCCCAAAACTTAAGTTATTTACATTCAAATCCTTTTTGTAAAGAATCTCGATGTTGCTATTGTCATACCAAATTTTCCCTCCCTGTCGATATTTTTGCCAAAAAAATCTTTATTTTTATCATGTATGCAAGTTGTTAAGTATATTATTTGAAGTCTATTATTTGTTGCAAATTTATTTAGGTAATATTATAGGTTTGTGATGAGCTTTAGTGATGAATTTTATTATCAAAAGTCTATATTTTATCAGTGATAGTTTTTTAGTGATAAAATATCTCTAATAATGAATTTTTTTTATCATCATTGAACGTGGAGGTATCTGTGACCAAAATTTGAAATTTGTTAAAATTATGATAGTTGTAGTGATGATTTTTATTATCATAAGCATGTATTCTCTCTATAACAGTCTTTCAGTGACAAAATATAATTTTAGTGATGAATTTTTCAATCATCAGTACATGTGTGGGTTTATGTGATCAATATTTGAAATTTGTCTTAGTTGCGATGAGTTGTAGTGATAATTTTTATTGTTACAAACTTATTTTTTCTTTCTGACTATTTTTTAGTGACAAATATTTTTTTAATGATGAATTTTTTTCATTATTATTGAACATGTATACATCTGTGACTAGTTTTTAAAATTTGTCACAATTATAATGAATTATAGTGACAATTTTTAAATTCATCACAAATTTGTCACTAAAAACTGCATTTCTTGTCGTGAATGTGATAACTATTTCACAATGATAGACTACACAATTTGCTTGTGTGTATGAATATTGTTGGGGGACTTATTTATATGAGATCATATAGCTGAATGAGGTAATAAATGAGTTTTTATTTCCTTTTATCCTTCACTAATAGCATTGAGTGCTCCTGTTGGGTAGGTGTGTTGGTTGGGTAAAAACAATTTAATTCAGTTGTCATTATGTAGAGAAAAAGGTTGATAGTCTATACATTATAAATGATCTTGCCCTCTACACTTTGTCATAATAGTCGATGGTTGATGGGAAAATACACGAGTGGTTTAAATTCTCCAACTCTTATTGATTAAAAAATTCAAAGGTTTTTACATTGATTGGATATTCTTGCAGGCACAAAAAAATGCAACATTACTCCATTTGTAGCTTTTTTGAAAATAATGGATTGCCACGCAACCAATGATTGTTGAAATTTCCAAAGGAGTCCATTAGTTCCATGTGTCCCTACTCAATGAACTATATGGAGGCGTTCCACGTATGGTGTGTTTTTAGTTAAGGCAAAATTTATTGAGATGGTATTTGGTATTTAATAATGGAATAGGATACATAATACGAAAGGTTGATTTCATTTTGTATGAATTGATATGATTGGTACATACAGGTTTTATACTTAATTTTATAACATTGAATTTTGTTTCAGTCAAATTTTGGTTATACTGGTCAAATTTCTACGTACCAATCGATATTTTGGCGTACCAATCGATATTTTGGCATACTAATCGATACATAAAAATGTTAGCAATATAGTATTTTTTTTCTTTTTTTTTTCTATTAAATTTTTTTAAAACAAAAAAAAATACTACTTACCAAATAATGTTGTGGAAACATATTTATCTCTTAAAACAACACATTTATTAATATACCTATTTTGTCAATAAAATATTTCTATTTTTCAATTTATATACATACATAAATCATAAATCAGATCTCAATTTAAACTTCTTTTTTTACCAAATGGATGAGATAATTATCTAGCTGAGTTTAAACTTGAAAAAATATATTGTAAATCTAAATAAATGGTTAACTTATTTAGGTGGGATAAACACAAATAAATACATGAAACTTTGTAAAAAAAATATAGAATATGTTGATATATTGTTTCCCTTTAATATTGTCCTTATTATTTAATGTTTCCCTTAATTCATGGATTTCTTCATTTTGAATATATTTTAATTTCTAAAAAATTAACTTTTTTAGGTATTAATGTTTTGTCTATTCATGAAATATAATTCCAAGGTTATATATTTAATTTATATAAAAAGATATATTTATAACAATAAATCCAAAATGGTACACATAAAATTTCAATGTTCGGTATGTACTAATTTAGTAGTAAAACAAATACACATGCCGGCATGGTTTTAACAACTTATGAGGCATTTGACGCTATTCCCAAAACAATTATTGGCATGCAAATCAAGCATAAATTCAAAGAAGTGAAAGTGCTTAGTAAATTCTTAATAGCTACATAGGTGTCTATTGGAAGTACGTATCCCAATATTGGGTTAATATATGCATGATGACAAAGAAATAGATTTTCAAAACTACCAAGTGTATAACAATGATGTGGAAAAAGGCCTAAATAATTAAAAGGATTTTGGTTGCTCAAATTGATTAAACCTTGACCCAAATATTTATTTAAATTAAAGAGATATCAGCAAAACCCATTGTTTCTAATTTTTTGGGATTAAGGTGTGTCACTGGGGAACTCTACCATGAGCTACTTAGCTGAAGGGAAACCAATCAGCGCCATTGGTAGTGGTGGGAACGACCTGAAGATGACTAGTAAAGGCAAGGGCTATTGTTGTATATTTTGCAAAAAAGAATTGTCAACACGTCAAGCTCTAGTAGGTTATTAGAATGCACATAAAGAGGAGTGTGCAGTTACCGAATGACATAAAGAGAAGAATATTAGAAGGGTAGAGCAAGAGGAATCCAAACATAGCTACTACCCTTATTTAAGGTGTTACTCTCAACATCAAAGGTATGGATAATACAAAAGGGCATTAGGGGCGTGATTCTTAATCCCATCCTCACTAACCTTCCTCCACCATCAAGCCCATGGAACACCGAAGAAGTTGGTTACATTAGCCCCTAAAAGGTAATATGTATTGCATTGATTATGAGTTATATCTTCTAGTCTTGACTCTTTCTTTTTTGTATTTCCTTAAAATATAGGTTAATTTTTCATTATGACAATAGTTAATATTCCATTAGAACTTAAAATTATAAATTAATTATGATTTATAACTATTTCTATGTGGTATCTTTGTGTCAATATCATTTGATGATTGTTCTTTTTGGTTGACAAAAATTCTTCTGCTTGAAGGAAATATTTTCTTCCTTACCTGTTTATTTTTTGCTATGGTTATACCCTATATCAACTAAGCATGCATGATCCCACTTTCAATTTAAACTTCAAAATAGAGTAAATTTACTTATCCATAATCAACATATTGACCTCAATAGAGAATGAAATTGTAAAGCTTTTCCTCTTCCTCTTCCTCTGAGAATTGTCGAACTAGAATACTTTCAAACATGTGTAAGTCTTCATTATTCTTATCTTCACTTCTTGTACTTAATGCCAAGTCAATATATTCAACCTTTTAACATCAAACTTATGTTGATCAACATCCTCCTATTGGAACACCATATTTATGCCTTTTTTACACCTCAATTGACATGCCTTCTAACTTTGGGTTTTGAATTTGACAACACCATTTTCTTTCTGTCTCCTATCAC